TTGACATCTTCTAATTATGTTCTCTTTCTGTTCCCCATTTCCAGTTGTCATGATTATCTTTGTTTTCCTTCTGATCTACATTTTAACTCAAAAGAGATATTCCATATGTCCTAGTAGTTTTTTTTTGTCTTTCAAATTTGAATTTTCTTGATTTAAACAATAATGACCAATATGTGTATTATTAGACTGGTTATCTGTGGGTGCTAAAGTTAACTATTTAATTTATTATATTGACATTTTTTTTATCTTAGAATTGCAATAATTAGTTTATAAATGCCAGTAATTAAAATTTTTTTTTTTCCATTTTATGAAATTTGTTATCCAGAGTTCTGGAAGTTTGTTTAAAAATTATTCTTGCAAATAGCATGTTTTCTTAAAATATAAATCACATTAAATTTGTTGACAGGTAATGGATATGATTAACATGTATTCAAAGCAAGCGTGGACGTGTTATTGAATATCGAGAAATTTTAATATGGATATCATCGACTGAACCTCTTTATGGACCAGATTACATACTGGATATGTTGTTAATGTATAAGAAGTATCGGGACGCAAATGACAGTGCCAGTCAGGAGACATGTTATTTACTAACAACAGTTTCACAGGTTTTATGAAACCAAAATAATGCCATTATCATTTATTATTATTATTTACCTCTGTACAAATTTCTACAGATCTTCAAGAAGAAAGACAAATGTAAGTAGGCCAAATTCAACTTTCATTTCATGACAATCTGCGCTTGACATAGTTCTGGCAAATGTCCTGATTAATGTAATTTTTTACACATGTTTAAAATTAACTTACATATTGAAATTAAGAAAATTAAGTTAATTGTATTTACGAAATAAAGCTTAGAATAGTTTTAGAATTTGCCATTTTATGTTGTGATTCAAACCTTATTAAAACAAAAAAGTTTAATATATAAGGTAATAATATTAAGGTAAAGGTAAACAAAAGTCAAATATTAATAAATAAGATTTCAACATAATTATTATTTTATTTGACCTACAATATATGGTAAAGAAAAAATATGGGCTAACTTATTATATACTTATATATATACTTAAAACGTAGGATACTTATATCTTTCTCATATTCAGAAAATGAAGACAAAGTTCCCAACTTTCTGTGATGTTGCTAAAAATATGAAATGAAGTTTTGAGTGATTTCATGATACATCTCATTCAAAATCATTCTCAGTTCATATCTCACGATTTTTAGAAAGAATGGAATATATCCTTTTTGATATTCATGTTATGTCATCTCTATGGATAATTTGATTTATAAAATGCATGATTATTCAATTCTACAAAATATTTTAACTTATAATTACAATAAGCTATAAATACTTATGTTCTTTTGTTTTCAGATCTACGAATAAGAGAAATATATAGGAGAGAAGTGGCAATCCCCTCAAAGACAGTACGGAAGTTCTGTTAGAGATTTGCCTGAATGGAAAGCCGCATGCCTGGGAGTAATTAAAGATGCGTTTGAGAGTGGCTGCTTAAAATTGAGAAATCCTTTCCATTTGTCCTCCAGCTCTCATCTTTCAAAGAAAACGCCAACCAGTGAAGACAAGTAATCAACTTATTGCTCACCCTGTCTGGAAGAATATGAAACTTTTCAAACGTTTCATTGCAGTATTCGAAGATGTGTGCTTGAAGAATGATGAAGAAAGTGTCATTAATTTGGTTTGTGTTTCCTCATGGAGAAAAAATAACTAGTAAGTAATCGAGACATCAAACTAATTGAACAATTTGCAAGACGGAGGTATCACAGATTGCGTCTTTTTCAATTTTAGTGAATGAACAATTTGCTCGTGCACTGGCCTAGAAATGGGCGCAGCTAATGTGCTGAAGACGATTTCGACATGTTTTTCATGATGTAGACTTGGTATTTTCACTTCTAGTGCTTGCATAGGATTACGAACTAACCAATTCAAGAAGCAAGGTTGTACTTCCCATAGTGTAGCAGTGAATTTGATCCAACTGTTGTGTACAAAACTGCAGGATTTTCTACCTAGCCAAACCATTTCTTAGTGAACAGAGATAGTGGATATTGGCGACAGGTTTGGTTTTGGAATTGCAAAAGTATGCTACAAAAGTGACTTAAAACGGTTTGGTGCGTTCTTGACATTTCAATACATGGGTGGGAAAAGAAGATTGTTGAATTGTTTCGATAAATTGTGGCAGCAGCGAAAAAATATAACTAATCTTCAAGCTGCTGATCCTAGTCTAGTTCATGTTTTCATATTGTAGACTGTGATCCTAAGCTTGGATGCAGTTCCCACTTCGCATGTGTAGATGAACGAGAGCATAACGTATGGGGGTGTCTTCCAACTTGCTTTCAGTTTATTTATTCCCACAAAGATTATTTTATTATTTGCTAGGACACAAGAATAAACATGAACGCCTTCTGTGACATTTTATGTATTTATTATTTAATTATTATGTAATTGTTAAATGAAAACCTAGTCTTCCTTAAACAGCATATTTTCCTCTCCGCATAAATTTGAGTAACAGATCAAATATTTCTTGGAACATTCCTTCCAACATGTCTTGAGTTATTTCAGTATTATTGGTATATAAAGATACATTGACATAGGTATTTGAAAATCCTTAAATACAAACACAAATTGAAACAGAAAACAACAAAAACAAAACAATAACCTAAATGTTTTGAAAAATAAAACCTTGTGATGTTGCATATGAATGCAGCAGCAACACAAATACATATAAAATAGAGAGATAAATGTACTTGGGGTTTAAAGGTAAGTACAGCTATCAGCTTCCAAAATATTGATAATCTTTTAAATTGTAAATCTTTCAACTTCCAATGCAGTTGCCCAAACTTTCTGTCTGCCTATTTTACCAGCCTTTTCATAAGATTCATTAAGTTTCAAGAAAATTATGTTCATAATCAACGAAAACCATATTGTAAATATCCCAAAATTTTCTTCTAATCAAATTTCTCTAAAAAGTCTCGGGGTATTAACTATTTTTACTAATAAACTTACATGTAATTATTTTTTGAAGGATATCTCTATTTTTGGAACTATACAGAAATGTTTGAAGGTACAAATACAATAGGGTATAATATACACATAACAGGAAAATTTAAAAATAAGTTTATTCTAAATTATTTATTAGAGACTTAATCAATTAATTAATAATGGTTTCAATAAGAATCGTAAACAAGAACCAATGAAGGCTACATAAACTATATTGTTTGTTTTAATGGTTCCTGTTTGTAGATATTTTACCTCATAGTAAAATTTCTGAAAGAATAGTAATCAACCATGCATTCACAAAAGTATCTTGAAACATTTGCATTTTGTTAAATGTATAGTTCGAGAAACAGGTTGAGGAGACATGGCTGTTGAGAACATGATGAATTTTCCCCTGTGTAGAGAGAAATGTATCTCTTTGTAACCTCAAAAAACAATTCCAATTATTCTAAAAAATGCAAAACTTCAGAAAATAGTTATCTATGTGTGTGATGGACATTTAAAAAATCCTTGAAATTTGAAATTTACAAATCTTTGATCAACGATCCATTTGGACCTGTTTTATTCTCCATCATCACAATCACCACCTCAAACAACCATGCTCTTCTTTGCAATTGCATAGTTTTATGTAGCTGTGTTTGGAAATATTGCAAACTCATAGATCTTTATTAGGATATTGAATGTGTAAAAATTTATTTTAAGACACAGGATTTAAAAATAAAAAAAACTGACATTGAAAAAATTTAAAAAGGCTTAAACTGAAATTCCATTTCAAAAGGGGGAACATTCAATAGTGAATCAAAACCATTATTCTTTCAATTAATATATTCAGGAAGTAAGAACCGAATAAAATGGTTTCAGTTCAGGTCAGTGGTCAGTTATGATTTTTAAGAGTTGTGTTTGGTTTAAATGTTAAATTAAAAGTGAATGGTAGTGTAAACATTAGATGGTTGAGTTTCTGAGAGAGGAGACATTTTGCTATTATAATTTCTATATTTTAAATAAAACAGGCTTTTGCTCTGGAGGAGAAAGAATTCATCTTAATTCATGACCTAAATCAAATTTCTAAAGCATTATTATTAATTTTGAAATAATTTATTAAATATTGGTACAGAAAAAACACTTGCAACAGTTTCAAACTGAAAAAAAAAAAAAAGTGTTCAAAACCAGAAAACCGAACCCAAAACCAAAAATTTTAATGAAATGAAAATGAATCTGGAATGTTATTTGAAATGATAGGATTTCTTTGGTAGTATGTTATATTGCTTATTATGTTGTTTACATAAAAATTATCAATTCCAAACATTTTTAAAACATAGAACACCTAAAACATGGGTTAGAAAAGACTCATTTCAGAGTTGTAGAACATAAAAATTCAGATCTTAGTGAATATAAATCATGATAAATGGCACTGGAAAATATGTTAATTGGAAATTTTCGCTGGATATTTGTACAAATTTGTGCTGAATTAGACCTCTTGACATTTGGAAAATGTTGGTTCATTGTTTTTAACTTGTTTGTGACCAATATCTCATTATTTATTAGCAATGTTCTTTAAAAAGAATAATGATTCAGAAAAATTGTTATTATTGTTGAAAAAATTAGGCTATCAGTTTTAAAAATATTATTCAATTTTTAATTATCAGTATAATATTAAATTTGGAATGAAATATATGTACATGTTGCTTTTACTTTAGTTTGCTAGCATAAGTAAAAGTAGTATACTAGATGGCAATGCATTCACATTAATATTTTGCATTTGTACCATTCAATTTTAATTTTATCAAGTTTTTCAACTGTAAACAGATTCCACGTTACACTTCTAAATTACAAGCAAAAAATCTAAAAATGTATCCATTCTTTCATAATAATATAATGTAGTTTCTGAATGATAATATTCTATTAAATTGTCTGCTTCAAACATTCTCATGCTGGTAAGATGAGAATGCTTGTAAGATTAATCTATGTACAGTTATGAGGATATGCTAGAATGTTTTGCTGGGAATATTATTATTCTCTTACTTTGTAAGATGTGAAAGAGAGGAAATTAATAGCATTATTTTGTCAATTAATAATTCCAAATAACATCTATGCATGAAGTTCTTGTAAACTAGTGCACATAATGTGTGGGTTCAAATCTGAGCCCAAACAGAAGCCATGTAATGGAGAAATAGAGTTAAAGGGTTAATTTTAGCTGGGCTATTTTGATAGCAATACTAAAGAATTAAATCTGTATTTGTTTACCAATGCTTACAATTTTCTATATCTCAGGAGAAAAAAAGGTTTAGTTAGCAAATATGCTGACTTCGTTTTGTTGGTACTTTTATTCATCATTCAATTATGGTAAAATAGTGGAGAAAAGATTATGGAGTTCAAGGAAATGTGTGCAGATTGTCCTTTCCCCCATATATCACATACAGCTTTTACTGTACTTTGATGAAATAAATCAAATCAAATCCAACTCGTTATCATACATTTAGTTGCTAATAAAGAAATTATACTTTCATAAATAATAATACATTCATAAATAATTATACTGTCCTGTCCTTGACAGCTCAATAGGGGCCTTGGCCGACAAGCAGTAGCCCAGCCTCTCAAACATGGGATAAGGGGTTCGTGTGGTTAGCATGAAGACATCCCTATATACTGGTCTTCTTAACCTGAGGGTGGATTTTCTCATCGCCACTCAGCAATAGTTATTCAGACATTTGTAAGGAAAGCGCATAGTTATAATTTTGCCCTGGCTGGGAATCAAACCCGGATTACGCTGTGGAAAGCAAGCAAACTAACCAACAAGCCGCTGAGGGCTGTAAATAGTTATATTTTCAGAAATAATCATACTGTCATTAATATTTTTTCTCTTTGTTAAAATATTATTGTTTTCATTTTTTGTTTTTAATGTATTTTTATTTTGTACTTGTTTAACTATATTTTACTATCAAACATGTAGCGTAATAATTTCTTCATCTTTTTTTAAAAATTGGGACATTTTACTTTACATTAATAAATAGCATATTAAAAATGTTTTACTTCCAAAATAATCTTATATTTATGAAATTGTGTCTTTAATTTGATAGGTGAGTTGCAATTGATGGTATTACAAATAAAATTGCCTAACAGAGGATTAAATTTGTACTGTCACTATCCTTGAATTTATATATAAGATACATACTCTACAGTAGCTAGTGAGCAATATATTTGACATGATCAAGTAATTACAGGTATGAAATAAGAAAGCTGCAAAACAGTATTCCTTTCTGTTATAATATAATTGATTGCCCTGCCTAAATAATACAAGAATGAATTTCCTTGATGTGACACAAATATTGAAAGGCAGTTGCACTTCTAAACTTACTGTACTTGCAATATTGAAACTAGCCCTTAACTTGATAAGTCATAAAATTCTTTTAATTTTTGTCATAGCCCACTTATAATGGCCAAGAAAGCATGATATACTTTAATTACTAAGTCAAATATCACATGAAGGATAGAAAGAATGAATTATCAATATCAAAATCATATTCTAAAAGTATTTCTCAAGACTTTGGTTTTTGCAATCATTCTGAGAAACATTTCCACTAAAACAATTTTTAAGGGGTTGCCTCCCTGTCTCATACTGATTATCACCTATTGGCGAGGTCTACAATTAATTGTACCTAATAATGATGAAAGGAAACAAATATGGATTGGGATGGAGTAGGTTGCATTATACTCAATCCTGCAGTTCTTAATAAAACCCAAGGTCAGAAAGATAGAGAGAAGGTAATTGTTGGTTTTTACTTTCAGAGTAATTTTAAAAATCTGCTGTTCATTCCCTGTAAATGATCTTTCCATATCCTTTGAGACTTCTATCTCTTCTACTAAACTTTTGGTATTCAATTTCTTTCTAATGTCTTTATTTCCTAGTCTGTCTCTTCTTGTGATTCCCATGAGGTGTCTTAGAAATCTCTTGTGTGCCACCTGTAACTTTTGTTTGTGTCTCTCTTTCATTACTCATGTTTTAGAGCCATATATGATTCTAGGCTTAGCAGCTATATTATGGAGCTTCAGTTTTGTTTCTGTGTCCATGTCTCTGCCAAAGAGTCTACACATTCTATTGTAGTTATTAAGTTTGTTTTGTATGTCTTCCTGAGTTCGGTTGCATACACTTCTGACATTTACAAGGTATGAAAATGTATTTACTTGTTCCACCAATTTGTCATTAATTACTAGTTTGGCTCTTCTTTGTTCCTTGCCTTGTATTGTCATAACTTTTGTTTTATGAATTGCTATCTTCATGGAATGTTCTTGGGCTACTTTATCAATTCAAACACTGCTCTTTGTAAATTATCTTCTGAATCCATTACGATAGTTTGCTCATCAGCATACATGATTGTATCTATCTTCTTGACTTTTGTGATCTGTATTCTCTGTCTAACTTTCTTTCTCCAGTTTCTCACTAAGTGATTAATATATGTTGAAGATGGGTGATAATCTACATCCTTTCCTTAAGCCACTGTTGGTTGTTATTGCTGCCGACTTTTTTTCTCTCTCAACAGTATTTTAATTCTTGAGTTCTTGTAGCGACTTTGTATTTCATTGAGTAACTGATTTGGAACTTTCTCCTCTTCTAGTATTTCCAAGAGTTTCTGTGTATTAACTTTGTCATAAGCCTTGTCATAATCAATAAATATTATTAAAGTTGGTAAATTCTTTTCCCTTCTTTTGTCTATAAACATCTTTAATGGAAAGATGGTGTCTTTAGTGCTTCTACCCTTTTGGAATCCACATTGCTTTTCTCCCATGAAATTCTCTCATATTTCATTGAGTCTGTTCCTTAGCATGTTTGCATAAAGTTTAGAAGCTGTTGATAGCAATGTAATGTCCTTATAATTGTCACATATCTTCTTTGAGCCCTTCTTGTGAATGTTAATAACCGAACCCTCTTGATACTATATTGGGATTGTTTTTTTTGCTACACTTTGTTAAAATATTCTAATAACATTTCTTTCAGCTCATTTCCTCCATATCTTATGAGTTCTATGTGGACCTCATCTGGTCTGGGACTTTTCTTATTTTTTACTTTTCTAAATTGTGCCTCCAGTTCTTCTATTTTCAGTGAGTTGTCTAGTTCATCATTGTTAGAGATTTGGCTTGTTCCTTCCAGCACTTCATTAGATCTGAGAATTGGATTGTTCCACAGGGTGTTTTATGCAATTTTCTTCTTGTATGCCATTTAATCTGACTTTATCTTTCACATTCATGTGCAGCAATTTCAAATCTTTGAAACCCATTTCTTGGGGGCCTGATACATCTCTTTCTATGCTTTTAACAAATTTCCTCGAGTCTCCTGTGTATTCGGCTGACACACCTCACTTAGGTCCATAATCTTTTATATTCCTCGTATTTTTTCACTGTTTGTTTTTGGAGGAAGGTTCTGTATGCTTTCTTCTTTTGATGTATCATCTCTTTTAGATCATTAACCTCTGTCCTCAAGCATTTCGTTTTCTTGACTGGTTTACAAGCCTATACTCTCTTTTCCTGCTTCAATCATAGTTTGTTTAAGTTTCCAAACTCCAAAATGTCTCAATATTTTCTTTATCTATCTTCTGTAGTTTTTCTTTCAGTTTTTTTTTTCCAGATAAGATTCTGATACTTTCATCTTCTAGAAGGAATACTTTGAGTTTTGAAGATGTTTTATAACTATTTTCCTTAGTTTTTTTTTTTTTTTTTTTTTTTTTTTTTTTTTTTTTTTTTTTTTTTTTTTTTTTTTTTTTTTTGTCATGCGAGTTTAATTTTGCTCTTTACCAAATAGTGGTCTGCGTCTATTTCACAACCTCAAAACACTTTAGTGTTCTTGACATATTCAAATAAGTTTCTGCTTACTATTATACAGTCTAGGATGGATCTTGTACCTCTTGCTTCCCAAGTAAATTTGTGGATTTCTTTATGTTTGAAAAAACAATTTGTTTTCATTAAGTTGTTGATCAGGCAAAAGTTAAGAAGCATTTTCTCATTTTCATTTGTTTTTTCCCCTTCTAGGCCTTTGCATTGAGGTATTTCATGATCACCAATTCTGGCATTAAAATCTCTAGATATAATGAGGAGGTCATCTTTACTTACTTGGTCTACCAGTTGTTGTAGCACTTTGTAGAAACAG